GTCGTGGATGCTTGGGAGACTGACGGTCACTCTGGACCGCCGCCTGCGTGTGACGTCACGTCCCTCCAGCCCTCGGTGGGCGGGCCGTCCGAAGGAAATGTGTCTTTCCCGTCCTTCTGGTCTGTTCTCGGCCCTGATTTTCCTCGTTGGGAAAGCCGGAGACATCAAGTCTTCTGGCGTTTGGAAGGGGCTTGTTTCCGCCCCGCTTGTCCACATACAGGAATTTGTTGTGAAATTTTAGCGGGAGAGGGTAGTTTGATTCTGAGGACGGGGCTGCGGTCTGAGGCAGGGTTGGTGCGCGTTTACAGAGGAAAAGAAGGGCCCAGGGTAGGCATATTTAACTGAGCTGTGGGTCCGATTCCCTACCATTTGAGCGTACACCAGCCTACCTTCCTTGGTGCCGCTGGAAACATCTCAGCCCTGGCTGCACTCTGAAATCACCTGAAGAGTTTTAAGGGTTTTGATGCCTGGGGTTCTTCCTGAAGAGCAAGAGTTCAGAAAGATCTGCAAATGAGTCTAATGTGCAGCTAAAGCTTAGAACCACTGAGCTAGAACTTCGCGGAAGACTGAAATTTACATAGAGAATATTGTAAAATCCTGTTTCAGGAACAAGTCTACACTTCTGTAAGAAAATTTAAAAAAAAAGAAAACTAAATTGCCTACTATAAGGACGGCAGTATTGTGAATATCAATAAAATACAGTTAATGCCCCCAAATAAATGGTGATCTAATGGAAAAGTCAGATAGTAAAATTATTACAATACAATGCAGTATTTTGTGTACTTCCTGTTCCAGATTCTAAGAGGGTCAATGTAGGAAAATTACCCATGGCTGGGAAACTTGAAAAAGGCTTCGTTTAACTGGTACACTTGAAGAGTAATTACTTTCTTATGAAAAAAGTGCAATCTGAGCAGAGAGAACAGGACACGGAAAGGTGCAAAGGTATAGATCAAGATATAAGTACAAAGATCCTGTAGCAAGATGAATGGCCAGATAAAGTTTAGGGCTGATGACAGCACTTTGACAGGATGCTGTGAACGAGCGACGTAGAGGGTTTGGGCCTTCCTAGGTGATTAGAACTTGATTAAAGTTGTGACATCTGAGCTTGCCCACGGCCTGCTAGTTAAGGCTGCTGGATTCCACATGCCCGACTGTGGTTGAAATCTTAAACCAGGCAGCTTGAAAAATATGCCAGGCATTCGTGTGTGTGCCCAAAATCCTGAAAGTAGAAAGAGGTGGAGGAGAAGGGATTGTGGCATTACCATGTCCCTCCCATAATCTTTCACTCTCTCCCTGTGGCAAATTAAAAAAAAAAGAAAGAAAGAAAAAGAAAAGAAAAAAAGAAAAGAAATTTGGAAAAGAAAATAATGACATCTAAGACATGTATTTTCTTGCTCTTTTCTACTGTGTAGTGGTTTTATTCATTTAACCTTACACTGAGAGTAGAAACTTTGGGGTCCTAAATAGGCTTCCTTTAGGCTTTATCTTTACTGCCTGGGGTAGCTATTAAAGTGAAACTATGTAGCTTTTGTTCCACCTTGGAGTCAGGATTTAGCAGCAGTGTAAAAGCCAGTTTGGTTGGGCCAGCAGGTGGTAGACGTGCTGGTTAAGGAGCTGAACTCCCACGTGGTTGACGGCAGTACTGGACCCTTTCTCTCTGCAAGCACACATGTCCTATGACAAAAAACTTTAAAAAATCAGTTTTGTTAATCGTTTCTCAGGACCCTTTCCCTCTGCGAGCACACATGCCCTATGACAAAACTTTAAGGTTTTGTTCATCACTTCAAGGATTCTAGCCTCATTGCATTTTTAAAAATCTTCACAAATGTCTCAATTTTATATATTTACAAAGATGTTTCAAGGTTTTCAACATTTTTCATTTTTCCTAGTTAGAGGATTGTTCAGGCTGTCTAATATGCCATGATGTCAGGGTTTTAACTGATTTTCTCAAAAGAACTAGGGAGAGCATATGAAAACCAAACAGTCAAGAAATGACAGACATCCATCTCGTTGAGAATAAAATGCATGTCTCCTAGGCCTCTCCTAAACTGCAGGACACTATGGCTGTCTGCTACTATGGAACAAACCACTCCAAACTTAGTGGCTTAAAGCGACCATTTTAAAATTTCATTTATTAAAAA